TCATCGTGTTTTCACATCTACAAGGGCCAAGGCTCTAGATTTAAAAATAATCTTTGACTGTATACATTTACAGGATTGTTTTTGGATTGTACAATGTAATAATCTAAAAACTGCTTTCCATTGTACTTTTGCTGTTGGTGATATCAGGAACATATATATTTTCCAGTTTATATTATTTCTGAATAATTTGTGCTCCCATCCCAGTTTCATACTGTCCTACAGCTTTCCTGCTTTAATTGAGCAGGGCCAAGGCACAGCGTCTAAGCACACACAATGAGATCTTCACCAGAGCACCCAGTAAGGAGTGCTGAACTTTCCTAGTAGGTGTACCAAGTTGTGAAACTCAGGCACGCTTGTGCAGATAGCAGCTGATCAGGGATAGAATCACAGTGTGGCACAAAGTTGGCAGACAACTTCGTAAAAAGGGACAGGCCAAGACAGGTCAGAGCAGGAAACAAACAAGCATAGTTAAAGCTGAAGTTGGTAAGGCAATCGGTGTTGGCAGGCTGGTGGGAGACAGGCCATGTAGTTGCTTTGTTAATCAGCAGGTCAGATCTGGTGACACCTATACTTCCCAGTGCTGTGCAGCAATAAGGTAGAAGAAACCACATATTGGTAAACTACAAGTAGCAGATTAGCATTGTCTCCTGGTCTCATGTGGAACTGTGGATAAAATTTCTTCATCAACTGAAGAGCATGAATATCAAAATTGGAAACCCAAATTTTTTCTTCAAGAACATAGCCTTTCCAATAGAATAAATATGTAGTTTGCCCTGGAGCAACTTAAAGTCAATAGATTCCACCTCAAACTCCTACTCAGAGTCCACCAGAACAGGAGCAGGGGGAAGAGATATGTTGGAATTATGGGATAGAATAACAGGCTTCAGGAGGGATACATAAAAGGAATTACATTAATGAAACCTGGAAGGCAGCTTTAACTTATACGTCATGAGATCTGTGACAGAACAAAAAAGACCAAATAAACACAAAGTTTCTGAGATAGCACCATTAGTCGTATGTGTTTAGTAGACAGTCAGACCCTATCCCCAGGTGCAAATCTAGGGACATAACTCACCTTTCTACAAGCCCACTTCCTGGAAGGGTGAGAAGACCCAAATAAAGTATTTTGAGCCTCTTCCAAATTGTTTTGAAAGTGGGCTCTGACTGATGCAGTGTCAGGGACCTCCAAACTAGAAGAAACAGGGGGTTGCACTCTGAGATGACACCCATGGGTCAAGAAAAAAGACTAAACTCTCTAAACTAGCTGACACAGCTGTTGTGGGTTCAGGGAAGCAGTTACAACCTTTTGTCTTGTCTGGCAGAGACATAAAGCATAAATTGTTTCAGAGATGAACTGATGTGTTAAGTCTGGACATTACACTGTGGATAGTAGACTGAGAAGTCCAGCTGAACCTCTAATACATGGTACGGGGCTTCCCATTCAGAGACTAAGTTAGAGGGAAAAACCATGAATGTTGAACATCTCCTCAAAAACTCTTTGCCAAGGCTGGAGCTAGGGGAAATCCCTTTAAAGGAATGAAATGTGTCATTTTAAAAGGACAATTCACCATGACAAGGATGACCGTGCAGCCTTTAAATTGAGCATAAATGTGATGAAATCTGTGGTTCCAAAGACACTTAGGCACAGTTATAGAGAGAAGTGGGTGGTTGGATCAGCTGAAGCCTTTAAGGGACATTCTTTTAAGATACACAAAGAGCAGGCAGCAATATAGTCTCTAATATTCTGGCATAATGGGGACCACTGGTTCTAAAGTGAGATGAAGTCCAATGTCTCGCACAGTCCATGATGGCCAAAAAAGCCCAGAATAATGCTCCACAGCCTAGAATGAGAATGGAGAGCCCTATATAAAAAACTACCTTTTAGGAGGTATTCCTTTCAAGCTTACAGGGACTGCAAGTAGAACTCTGGTAGGGTCAGTGATATGTGAGGGTTCAGGTTCAGGGCATCTGCTTTCTGTTCTTGTTTGAGAACTTTTTGGAAAACTAGCCACAGGTACATAACATGCCCAGGTTGCTCCTTTGTAAAAAAGCAGCAACAGTTCCACCATAGAAGGTATCAACCTCCAGAAAGAATGGCTTAGCTGGATTGGAGCATAGTATTACAAGAGCAGAAGTAAAAGTTTGCTTCAGGTGTTCAAACCATGAAGAGCCTCATCTGAACAGGATTTGCAGTTAGTCTCCCTCTTGGTGAGCGCAGTGGTAGATGTCAGAACTGAGGGGTGATTTCTGATAAATTGTCCATGGTACTTTCATTATTTGTGGAAATGGTCACTTTAGGACCACAAAACTTTCTCAAGATCCATGCATAGACCCTGATCTAAGACTATATACTCCAGGAAAGGCACCTCCAAGATTTCAAAGTTACGCTTTTCTATCTTGGCATGAAAGACTTCTTCTGGAGGCATTAGAGCATTGCTCTAGACAGGGGTGCAGGAAGCCATGCCTCTTGACCACAAAGAAGAGGCTAGCACCAGCGGGTTAGATAGAATCCCCATTCAAGGTTTTCTCTTGTCAGGAACCATAAACCAGGCGGAGACAGAAAGTGCAGGTAAAACCACACCTTTAATGAAATAGCAAATGCAGCATAGATGAGGAACGTTGTAAAAACAGAAACCAGGGTTTGGATGCCAGTGTGGGTAATCAGACAAGTCAGAGTAAAAAAAACAGAAGTCCGCATAGTCAGCAGCCAAAAATCAGGAACAGAAACCGGAAGGGAAGTCAGCCAGACTGAGTTGTACACAGGAACACAGACAGGAACACACTGGAGATAGTAGACCACACAAGGGCAAGGAGGAAATGAGCTAAACTGCTAAAATAGCAAAAAGGGCTGGCTGTAGGCTGGATTAATTAGGCAGGTAATATTATCCAGGTGAGTCACTGTGGAGACAATGAGTGACTGGTAATTAACCGAAGCTGAGCAGCTTCAGAGCACTGAAAGAAAAAAAAACTGCTCATTATGTAGCAGGAGCCCAGTATTGACATCCCTAATGTACTTAGACATGTTTTAGGTCTCTGGTCTGGACAGGGGATATATTTAACCATAAGATGGTATGGTTCTAGTCAGGAGCTTGATAGAGTAGTCATATCAACAATGAGGTGGAAAAGTCTTCAATTGCTATTTACAGATGACATCCACAAAATCCCTATCGGGTCTAGGAAGGCCAGGCAAAGGAAAAGTCTCAGCCATGCAAACAGAACAAGCTGGTTTGACCTTTACAAGGCAATTCTGGTGACAGTTAGAGCTTCAGGGCAGAATGCAACCAGTTCAATGCACCACTGTCAGGACAGCTTCAGAAGAAGATGTGTACATGTGCCAATACACAGAACAATGGTCAATGCCAGTTGGTTGTGTGAAAACACAAATATGAGCAAGTGCACTAATTTACATGAGCACACTAATTCGTGAGGGCATGCAGAACAAATGTATGCACATACAAGCAACCAGCTATGCCTGCTTAACTCATACAGTAACTGTTTAAAGAACATAACTGAACAAGGAAGTTGTATGCTTTTCACCTGTACCCTGCAACGTGATCCCTGAACTTGTTCCGGAGATCTGCTTTGTTGACCCAACTTGCCTTGTACTTGTCTCTGCTCTGCCTTTCTGCTACTGACCTCAGCTAGTTCCTGACCACAAATTCTCTGATAACACTGGGATTGACCTCAGCTAGTTCATGACCACAGCTTATCTCTGCTGATTCACAGTTTAACCTCGGCTAGACTCTAATTACGGTTTATCTCTGCTGACCTTCTGGAGTGACCTCTGCTTGTCTCCTGATCTAGTGCTTGCCTCCTACTCTGTCTGCAATCCATCTCTTACAGATCACCTCCTGTTCAGACCACACTTCCAACCTGCTGTGGTTTCCAGTGTCCCTCCCAGTTGCACAAGCACTTCTCAGCCAAGCCTGCCTCTAGAATTCTTTTTATGCTTCTGTGGACTGGATTCCTGGCACCAGTGCCATTCTGTACCCTCCCACTCTCTGTGTTACACTTCTGGGGTGTCTGGACCAGAGGTTTAAGGAAAGCCTTCTTGTCATCTTGGCCTCCAGCCAGGTATGTGGTATAAAGAGTACTGATGGATTCATGGCATGCTAACTAGAAGCTGATTGACCAGTTTGGGCAAGAGAAAAAATTCCAAAATCTCAAAAAGGAGGATGCCAACTCGTACAGAGAGTGGCCTGATTATTGGCTCCAAATTACTGTACAATTGACCATTAAAATGGGATTCTTTAGAGGTACTAATGGAATTTAGTGTAGAAAAAGTGCTTAAAGACTAGGCTTTGACTGATAATGTTAGAAGTGACTACTGAATACAGGTAAGTTTTGGCCCAAAAGGTCTAATCAAAGAATAAATGCTGCATGGTGTAGGTAACCTTTTTCAAGGGAGTGAGACATTGTCAGCCAATGGAACCCTTCATCTGATGACCCAGGTCAGGGCTTTTGGATGTTTGTAACAGCCAAAACAAGACAAACATAGATTCTGTGTTCAATAACATGCAAGCTCATAAGCTGAAAGCTTAGACTGGTCATTCTCCAAGGGATCCAGTGGAGCTTCTCCAGTATCTGAGAGACTGATGACAGGGGCAGAACTAACAGGAACTGGTGGAAATTGGATAGCTCCAACCGATGCTCAGAGAGGCAGCAGTCTACCACCATAGGTTGCCTGCTCTTACTTTTCAACCCTTTTTGGTGTCTCCTCTGTACACCTGGGGTGCTTTGCAACTTTTTGCAGCTGCCTTTTTTAGAGGTACCCAGTTTTTTTTTTAGCACTTTTAACTATGTATTATTTGAATTATGTAGCTTTGTAATATACTGTATATACAGTGGGTATATTCCTAGTAAGTTCCCCAATTTGTTGCTACATGTTTCTTTTTTAGTGTTTGCTTAATAATAGCTACCTCTTTGCTCTATAACCAGGGTATTGAATTAAAATTCAAGGAGGTCTGGTCACTAAAATTTTCTTCTGGCAGGAGGTACGAATAGGGTGTGTCCATCAGTGCGCCCCCTTACATTAGGTGTCACCATCAGAGTGCAACTTTACATCATGTATTCCCATCACATCAGGTGTGCCCATCAGAATGCTTCTTTACATCAGTTGTCCCCATCAGAGTGCCCCTTTACATAAGATATTCCTGTCAGAGTGTCTCCTTATGCTCAAAGTACCCCTTTCTATCATACTTCCCCATCAGAGTGCCCCTTTACATCATATTCCCTATAAGAGGGACCCTTTCCATCACATGTGCCCATCACAGTGTCCCTTTCCACAGTATGTGCCCATTTGTGCCCCCTTAAAAAAAATGGGCCCATTGTTATTGGGCACACTGATGGGCACATTCTATGTTGTGCCCATCAGAGTGCACCTTAACATTAAATGCGTCCGTCAGAGTGCCCCTTAACAGAAAATGTTCCCATCGGCATGCTGATGGGCACATTTTATGTTAAGGGGCACTCTGATGGGCACATGTTATGTAAGGGGCACTTTGATGGGCACATTCTATACTTTATATAAATCTGCTGCTTCATCCTGCAGACATTTTAGAAGCCTGCTGCTCATCCTTTCCACTGCACTTGGCTTTCAAGGGAATGTATAGTAGTTGTGTATACATTTGCTTTATTTATTATAGTTAGAAAGAAATATTACAACATTTAAAAATACTTTCCTTTTAGGCTAGGTACCTGTGAAATATTGCATGTGAACTTTATGTAGTTTTTTATCCACCCAACAGATGGAGGTCTCAAATCTTTTTCACAAGTTTTGCTGTTTCTCATAATCACTGTGTTGTAAAATCCTGTTGTGTACAGAGATCCTTAGCTCAAGCTAAATATGTCAACAGAGCTAAATTGATTATCAGACGGCTCAGCACAAAGTTTTAATTGGAAAGTGCCACCCAAATCAAAGAGAAATACTGTTGCTGTCTGTTCAGCTAATCCACAGTGCTCTTGGAATGCTTTGTCATTTAATAATATAGTAAATGCTCATTTGTATGTAGGAAGGGTGTCATATGAAAGGTTCCCCTACCTTGAAGTTATTACATCCCCTAGCTGCAACAACACCTGGGTAACAGGAGATCCCAAGCCTCAGGTAAATGGGAATAAAATATTTAGCATCCTGATATTCTGAAATCTTAAGTGTCTCCACCTAGAAGGGCCTTAGGTTGCAAGGGGGAATACTCAGTCCTATGGGCAGAGCTAAATATCACACAGGGACAGGCTAACAATTTGGTGCCCCTAACGGAGAAACAAATATGTGTGTTTGTAGAACAAAACAATGTGAATTCTTTACACAAAAACAGACCTGTCATAGGCAGTGCCGGGACAAGGTGATCTAATGCCCAGAGTGAAGATGCCAAACTGTGCCCCCTCTTGCCCCAAGTGGAGTATTGGGTGGGCTGGGGTTAATAGCAGCACACGCAACTTGGCAACATATGAAGATGTGAATTTATTAGAAATGTTCTATCCCACAGTAAATATGGGGCTAAGAGTGATGTTGAAAGAAATGCCCTAGCATCAGTGTGAGCAAAAAATGGTGTTGTCACTAAGGAAGAAATGCTTCTATATTGGTGGTGTCACTAAAAAGAAAAGATGCTCATACATCGGTGGTATCATTGGAAGAAAAAATGCCCCTGCATTGATGATGTCACTGAAAGGAAAAACTGCCCCTGCATCTGTGGTGTCATTGGAAGGAAATATGTCCCTACGTCAATGGTGTTACTGGAAGGAAAAAGGTCCCTGCATCAGTAGTGTCATGTCCCTGTATTGCTAGTGTCAGTCTGAGGAGGACTGCTTTGGCATCATATAAAGAGGTGGGAGGGGAGTTGAGAGGGTGGGGGATCTGTGGGGTGCATTTAACTAAGGGTTCCTGTGTGGCTCTGAGGGCTAGTTTATGCTAGCATTATCCCTCTGAAGAGTGATCTGTGGTGGGTCACTCTTCAGAGTACATTCGATAGGCAGTGCAATGGCGTTATGTTGTCTATTCCAATCCCTAAAAGCCCACACCACCACCTGCAGCAGTGTGCATTGCGGTGCAGCTCCTTTCAGTTGAATGGGTTGTGTTCGGCACATGGTATTGCCCACCAACCACAACAGGGTTAATTATTCTTTCTGTAGCACATGTGTACCCACATCCACTGCTGCACTGCAGTTTGGCCGCAGTGTGGGTGTAGTGCAATGTACCTGCCGTTTTTAATGCGGTTTACCTGCTCTTTCCCATAGACTTCTGTTAGATTGTGTGTTTTTGATATGCTCTCAGAAAAAGAACCAAAACTGGCGATATATTAGAAAGACTATAGGAAAGCATGGGTAACCCGCATTAAAAACTGTGCTGCACCCACATTGTGGCCAAACCACAGCATGACAAAGCGAAAGGGCTCTAAGGGGGAACAGTTGGGGGGTGGTAAAAATGCAGCTCAAATGTATGTTTTACTACACCCCAGTTGTAAGTGTGAACACCCCTGAGGGAGGTAATGTGGTTTTGAGAGGGGAGTAGGGAGCTTTGAGACCAACTTGCTTCATTAATCCTCTGTGCATTTACAGTTTGGTCTCAGCACAACAACTGCCTCTTCTTCTCCACTCTGGCCATGTGATATGTCACATGACAAGGGGATATAGGCAGTTGGCCAGTCTGCTCTTACTAGGGTTGCCACCTCATCCCTTTAAAACCAAACACTTTAATTACATAGGTTCTGAGGCCAATTTAATGCACATAAAGTACTAGGTGAGTTTAATTGCCACCTTCATCAGCCACAGAACCTGTGTTAGTCTAGGTTCACACCTAAGCATTTTCCGCTGCGTTTTGCAGGAACGATCAGCAGTCCATTTAACATGATTTCCTATGGGACATGTTCACATCTTTTCACCTGGTGCATTTTTTTGGAAAGGGTCAGGGACTTTTTTAAACTCAAAATGTTGCGTTTTTGATTCTATAGGCTTCAATGGAGATGCTACAGAAAAGCACGTAGTGCGTTTTTGCTGCTTTTTTTAAGTTTTGCATTTTAATCTGTCTAGCAACAAGTAAAAAAAACACAAAACGTATCAAAACGTGTCAAAACACGTGTGCAAAAATGCAAAATGCACTGCAGAAATGGATCAAATGCAAACTGCATAGGTGTGAACCTAGCCTAATTAATATGTGTTCGGTTTTAAAGGGATGAGGTGGCATCCCTAGCCCTTACTCTCTTGCAGGTCCCCTTACTGAGAAGATCTCTGTTTCCAGCGTGAGCACCGCTATGTCTGATCTATCCTGCCTATTTTACACTGCTGCTGGAGGGGCTGGAGGGTTCTTCTATTGTTGTGACTTAGATGACGTTCAGAGCACATTTTATCACAAGCTTGCAATCCCCCCCCTTCTCCACTGCACCCAGGGCAGGTGCCCCTTTGTGCCAGCTGTGGTCATGTGTGATACATGCAACAGTCATTGCTAGCCCTCTTTATTTGAGGGGTTCACATACTTTTTCTTGCAACTAGACTTATATGCTTGTTCAAGGCCAGTGAGTCAGAGTTTAAATATGGAAGCCAAATGCAGTAGAATCCTGTGTCAAAATAAGTTTTGGCCTTGTGCTGATTACATCAGTTTGACATCAGGTTTAAATCCCAAGGCTGTCAGAACTTGTAGTTTTGCTATTCACAGAATACAGTTTTTGTAGCTGCTGACTTTTATTTTTTGACAGGATGAGTGAACTCCGCTTTAAGATCCTCTTGCTCACCTATAAGGCTCTTCATGTCTTGGGTCCCCATTATCTGTTTGAACCAGGGGCGGACTGATCTTTTGGAAACTCGGGCACTACCCGAGGGCCCGGGGTCAGTAGGGGGCCCCATGAGATGCCCCTGGTACCTTTTTCATAGGCTTTTTTTGAGTTTGGGCAAGGACACAGGGGCCCCATGATCCCCTTTTGCCCGGGGCCCCATGAGTTGTCACTCCGCCCCTGGTTTGAACTTTAATCAACTTACTCCCACCCCCCCATAACCTCCGCTCTTCAAGATCTGGTCTTCTGTGTGTCCCCTCTACTCACCTACACTTGATGGGAGGCAGATCCTCCTCCTGCTATACTCTAACCTGCTGAAATTCACTTCCAAGGAACAACAGAGAGTCATCTTCTCTAAACTCATTCAAATCAAATCTAAAAACATTTTTCTTTAGACAAGCTTTCACTTAACTGTCCTTTTTTTCCTTTGTCTTGTTCTGTGTATTTCTTGTGTTTTCCTTGTAAAGCGTTTTGAGAAGCTACATTTGAAGGTGCTCTTTAAAATAAAGTTTATTATAATAAATAAATAAATAAATAAAAGCTAATCATTTTAAGCAACCCTGCCAGTGTTAAATGGTCTATCTGATCCCTGTACCTGTAAGAGAGCTTTTCTGTTGATAAACAACAGACTTACCAGCTGGATCACCAGATGAAAATAGAAGAAAGAAAGGCTACACATGGAAACTAATACATCCATCACATCTAAAAATTGGTAAGCTGCTGTATAATAAATGCTTGATTCATACTGGACTCATTCACTCAGGCATGGCCTGAGCAATAGCTAGTGTTCCCAGTGCCCAGTCCCCCAGTGATCCCTAGTGTCCCAGACCCTACGACAAGATTCTGAGTGACCCCAAGATTCTTAAAGTCCCTGATTTTCAAAGAAGATTTCAGTGTCTAGTTTCCCTCGCTTTCTGAGATACTCAGAGTGACCCCAAGATTCTTAGTGTTCCTGTAGCTAGACCCCCTTTGTTCCCACTGACTCATAATTTTAAAACCAAAAAGACCCTACACAATCACCAACTTACTGTATTTTAGGAAACAATATGCTGCCACCTGCATTGACATGTGTTTCGACACCTGTATTAAATATCAGTAACCATAATGCGGCACAGCTCATTATTTTGAAAACTTCACAAGTTTGATACAGAGCCTTCCAACATGATTTCTGTATCCCCAGTTTTCCCAGTGTGTAGACTTTGTACACTGCTATCCATTCCGAGTGACTCTGAGTGTTTTTGTGCATTCCTTCCACGTTGGGGTTTACTACTTACTAAACTGTAACTCCAGCATATCAGCGCTGCAAGGGACTCTTACCTGCTTATCAGCCCTTAGCTCCAGTAGCTGCCTGCTTAGGTGAGTCAGGGGGCTACAACCTGGGAATCATGTACAGTGCAATCCATCTCCACCTCCAGGAGGTTTGCAGAAGACAAGGTAGTTACTAAACCCACAGCAGTAAAATCAGTCTTTATATGCAGTAAGGTATTCTTGTTATACTCACTGTGGAACCTAAGGGGTTAAATTTCCGACACCAGCGCATCAGTCCGATCGC